CTCTTTCTGTCTCCCTCTCTCTCTCTCTCTTTTCTTCTTTGTCTCTCTCTCTCTCTCTCTTGCTGTCTCTTTCGTTCTGTTGCTGTCTCTCTCTCTCTCTCTGTCGCTATCCCGCCCTCTCTCTCCCATCGAGGGTTCCTGTAAACAAGCACTTGCCGCAATCCGCGGGGATTTAATTTGTTTACCTTGACGATCGTGTGGGCTTGGATTTCTCTGCTGAAGTGCTTTTGCATGCTTGTGCTCTATATAATATGCGCTGGCATTTCATCTTTGCCCCTGCAACGTCCGACCGTGAGTGTCCAAGAATGGGCTTTCCTCCGAACGCGCAAGTCCTGGGGACACCTGCTGCCAGCACATGCTTTTCCTACGTCTCCACAACGACCAGCCCGAGGGTCATCGCATTTCAAAGGATGCCAACTTGATAGCTGTAGCGGATCCCCCTAAAAGCACGTGGCGGCGGGTACCCCCACCCAGCCAGGAAGAACCCCCTATTCTCTCCTCTGCAGTCGGCTTTTGTAGTCGTGCATAGTTGATGCTTGGCCAGGCTCGGCCTACTGTGCTTTGGCAGCAGCTACTACTTGCAAGTCTCGCATACATAATGCTGCGCGCTAGGTGTTCTCAGTGTCAGTTCATTCTCTGTTTGCCGTGAGGCGAGCCCTGTTCGGAGCAGCTTCGGAGCAAAAGGAGTTTGGTGAGAATTGGCCTTTGGACTTGGCTTGCTGGTACTGCTTGTACCGATGTCTGCTGAAGTCTGCTGTACTGTGTCTGGTCCTACCAGCATGAATCAAGGCGATTTTGCATGGTGCAAAGATCCACAATCGCGGGGCGCAGATGTGAGCTGCTCGGAGGAGAGCTCTCGTCTCCTTTCGGAGAGGGAGGGCGGGAGGGCGTTGCTGCAAGCTGAGCTGTGCTGGGCCCTAGTATTAGGCCTCGGCTCATTGGCCTGCCGTTTGCTTGCACCTCGTTTTCTCATCGAAGGACGAGTCGGCCCCCCAACGTTGCGACATGTTGATGCTCTCATTTCCATGCCAATCGCCGAGGAAGAAGCCCTATGTGGTGCAGCTTGTCCGGCCAACCATCCCCGAGCAACAAACTGCTGTGCAGCGTGCAACGTCCTCATGGTTCTTCTTCATCCTTGTTCCGCATTCATGTCCGACATGGCCAGCTGCGTGCGCCGGCATGTTACTCAAACGAGGTAAGACAGCGAGATGTGGTGCCGTGGGAGGCTCGAATCATGGGGTGTCGCAGAGGGATCGTGACAGAGTATTCGGGCCAGAGCAAGCCTATGCATTCCGACAGCCCTTGTCAGGACGCTGTGCTCAATGCGAGCATTGAGAGACTCTCCAAGGGGCGCAAGCGCACCTAGCTTAGACAGGTCCCCGTACCGATCCAGGCTCACCAAGGATTTGCATGCACCTCAGGCAAGCGCGCCGTTGATTTGGCGGGCGCTTTGCGACTGGCAGGTGGGTGGGTGATATTGAGGTTGCAGTTTTCAGGAATCTGCCCTGCAATCCTTCCAACTGATCATTCCAACTGACGCATCCTTGGTTGGTCAAGCTGCATCGTATTTGCAAAGCCTGCTGTACAGCCTCGAGTACTGTAGTCAAGACAAGCGCAGAGCCAAGAGCAGTCTTGAGTCGATTCTAGTCGTCGTAGGGTGTTATTGTCGTCTTGGATCAAGCCAAGTCAGGCCAAGTCTCAGCTGTCATCACAGGCAGATGATAGAATTGATAGGTCAACTTTGATTCAGGAGCGGCTGGAGCCAATCTCACGCCCGCTTGCACCCAAGAGCCGATGGGGAAGCCGGGTTGTACATGTCGCAGCCAAGCATTGTGATTACTTGCTGGTGAAAGGCCATGACGTCTTTGAGCATGATGAGGAAGTCCAGCCACCAGCTCGGGTAGATGGCAACTGCAGAGTACTAATCGCTTGAAAGCTGCATCTAAGGCCCCAGATGCGTGAAACCTTCGGACTCACTAGGTGCGCCTCGAGGATCTGGTGAGTGTTGCGGTTTTCGATTTGTCATCAGGGGGTCATGCAGGCGCCAGAGGTGTCTGGTGGATGTCACCACTTCGCCGTCGATCTCCTGCGGGATCACTGAAGCCTGCAGCTTATTCAGTGGTTGCGAAACACAACGTGTCGGCTGTGTTCGGCAGCAAGTGAAACTGAAGGCAAAGACCCAAGAGAATGCCGGGCCTTGATGCCTCTAAGCGCCAGATGCTCACTTTTCTCAATGCAGTGTCCGCCACCCATGCAATACATGCAGCGAGCGAGTTCGAACGAGGTCGAAAGAGAGCCGCATCAGCAAACCTCGAGATTTTGCATTGACCTCAGCATCCTCAGCCTCACAATGTCCCACACTGTCCAGACCGACAGAGCAGCTCGAGGCGACGCGAGCTTGATGTAGCCAGCCGGTATGAGAAAGAGTTGCAAGCAAGGCACTTGTCTATGTATCAAGATGGGCAAGTGGCAGTTAGCATGAAAATGAATGTTCTTTGCAAGACTTTTCGCGTAGGCTGCAGGAGTTGAAGAATGCCGCCTGAGATGTAAGTCTGAGAGGTGGCAAAGTTTTGCAGATTTGCTTTACAACGAGCGCGAGCGTTGGTTTGCCTCCCTGCAGTGTACAGCTGTCTGGTTCAGCGTGCAGTGCTGGGCCAGTTATCCAGTTGCTGGTTGAATTCAGATCTGAGCTGGGCACCGCCCATGCGCAATGACGGGTGAGGAGTATGTGCTTGCGTACGCTGTAAAAATTTCAAGTCTCGAACTTTCGCCAAGTGTGCGCAACCTCGACCTGGATGCAAAGCAAGAGGCTGTAGATGGTGGCAGGTCACGATTGCATAAGTCAATGTGCCTAGAGATGCTTGCCTCAAGTTCGAAGCTGCATAACTCTCCATCTCCATGCCAGTCTCCATTCTCCATTGAGTTTTTCAGCCAATGAGTAGTTTCTTGCACCCTGGATAAGATCTGAGAAGCAGCAACATTCATTGCTGCCAGACATGACTCTGCCTAGAGACACAACTACTTGTGGGATCGGTTCGTGCCCATTTCTGTCACTTTTTTCTCCAGATGTGCTGCCGGCATTAATAGCGTGATGGCTGGCTGCGGTGGTGATGAACAACTCAACGGATGCCTTGGTGCAGTTGTGGAACATGTGTGTCACTTCGCAGGGCAGCTGCCCCGAGCAAGGCCTTCAGTGGGACACCTTGCGGCGAGTCATGGAAGGCTTGCCCGTGGCCCGCTGCGAAGCACTGAAAACCAACAGCGTCGACGAGATATTGAGCTATCATTTCGGCCCACATGCAGCAGGAGGTGTTCTGAACTACGTAAACTTCACTCTTTTCTGGCATGGCATGGAAGCCATTCTACAGACCGCTGGGTCGGTGCCCAAGTATAGATCAGGAATGTCAGGTCAGGCCATGTAAACATGTCTCACTGCGGGCTTCTGCTGAATGATCTTGTCCTGGCTCCTAACTTGGAGTTTTCATACAATCGCATGCCAAGGGTCTTCAACCATCGCGGCTTCGATGACGGCACTCTGCAAGTCATTGCTAGTCTGCGCCATTTCCGGGATGCTGTGCTGGAGCTTCCGGGTGCTTTCGGTGGGTCACTCGACGAGCAGCCGTTGGCGGAGTGCTCCGTCCGCAAGACCTTCGCTCCACGATGCACACAGGGAGCATCTCGAAATTCGGCACAGCTCGTGTCGGTTCGTTACTTCAAACCTCAACAGCCATGGACGACTCGAAAGCGTTGCATCTTCTGGTCGGGGCCACAGGACGCCATCGGAAATCTTCCGAAAGCGTCAGATTGAAAGACGCACTCCCACGCTCCCACGCCATCTGCATCGATGAGCCTGCTGCCTTCATAACTTAGGAAATGAACCAACAAGTCAAGCATTTTCGAACGGTGGAAGCGATCATCGATTCGTGATTGGCAGTACCTGGTGAGCCTCAGGAGCTCGCAGTGGTGCTTCGTCGTTCTAAGGAACCTCACGCTACGCAGAGTCAGTTTGTGCGCACATCCTCGAGCGAATTCGTGCCCGAGAATCGGGCCGCGAGCACATGCCTTATAGAATGTCCTTGCCTGCAAAAGCCTCAACCCAAAATTCCCGGGCGCAAGCTGCGTCTTCAAAAACACAGACAAACGTGACGGGTGAGGACAGCCAGCCGAGTAGCCTCAAGAAAAGAACAGTCGCTGCATCAAGACCCTGCTAATGCAATGCAGGCCATTGCAGACCGGCAGGCAGTGCTGGGCAAAATGCATCCTCCGCCCCTAATGGCAGACAACACTTTGGTGTGACTGCAAGAGAAGGGACCGTTTGCGAACAAGCCGGTTTGCATTCGGGATTGACAAAAATTTTCTTGTCGTTCTGCATGCGGAGAAGCAGTCGATTTACAAGGATATCTTAAGATAACATTGGCTTCCCTATCATTCTCATTTTTTTGCTGAAGGTGTCACGTGCGAGAGCTGCGCATCCTCTACGACCAGCTGCACCACCAGGGCCTTCTCTCGGGTTCTGGAGCGGTGGCCGAGTATTGGGCTGACAAGCTGCGGCAGCTGCCCAAAGACGAAGAGAATCTGATGGTCTCTGCTGACGAAATCTCGGCTGCATTGCTGCAGTGGCTCGAAGACCTTCTCGGCTACGCCGAAGGATCCGAGGCCGGGTCGAGAGCTGCTGGTCGTTGCACACGGCGACATGCGGAGTACGTGACTGCAAACATGCAAACTCTATCAGATTGAAGCGGGGTCGGTGCCAGCTATCCGAGCAGATTCTGTGGGAGACATGGGAGACGTTCGTATCCTATGTAGTATTCGCAAAGTTGTGGAAGACTTTGGAGTTCACACGAAAACTGCTGGAACGATTGTTCCATCAGGTCTTGGCCCATGCAGCCATCCTTCTATAATTTAAGCTGAGAAGATTAGACCTCTTTTGTGTGCGTGCTTTACGTTGAGCTGGCACATGCTGCCGCACCCCCGCCATCATGGAAGGCCCGTCACATCCGGAAAGCTAAACCAAGCCCAGCGAGTCGGAGTGGAACCGGAAGTTGCATTTCGATTCGGAACCGCCGTGAGGATGCCTCATCCGAGGAGCCGGAGCAAGAACTTACACCAGAGGCACATCAGACATGAACAGCTCGACTCTGCCCGCGGCCGCCCGCGGCCTTGCATTGCTGAGGTGTTTGCTGCACGGAGCTTGCTAAAGAAGCCGGAGGCGCAATGTTCGACACGCATCGCTCCGATCGCTTCGTGCTTCCCTGAAAAGGGCCAGGATGCCAGGCGTGCAACGGGGGCCACAGGCCGGTACTTTCGGCGTCTGGGCCAGTCGGACCATATGGTGACGCTCCGCAGGTCGTCTTTCCTGGCTACTCAAGCCAGATGTTGCCGAGAATGTGGAGGTGAAGAGACTTGCCGATGCACCCTTCGAAGATGCTATTCTTGCGTAATGTGTCGTGTGGAGATTGTCTGTTTAGGCTCGCAGGCCTAGCCACAGTCGTTGACCAGTGGTCCGCCGAGTGCTTGCATCCGGTTGTTTATGCTTGATTTGTTGGCCCATCTATGCATTCGTCCTTGGTTTTGCGATATGCGGTACAGCACAACCCGCTTCGGTTTGGACTTGGTTAGGGTTTTGTTGTAACTGTAGACATTGAATCCTGCCGAAGTCGTCTCCGTCTCTCGAATCGTTCGCAAGCCACCTCAGAGTTGTAAAGGTGGCCAAATTTCGCAGCTCTCTCCGAGAAGTTTTTCCGCATGATGTCCGTGCCCGAGCAGGGCAGACCGAAGCCCTGTGGGTTTGCTAAGATCGCGGCCTTCAGCGCAGCCGAGGACATCTCGCTGCGCGACTTCTACCGCGGCGTGCGAGCCTGGGCCCTGGATGGCCAGTTTGCCAGTTGGCAGTGAACCCCTCAACAAGACCTGAAGTAGTTTCTGCACTTCTGGCGCCTGCAGCAGGCAGGCAGATTCGGCAATTTTGGATCAACGGGTCAAACGTCGATGCGCCAGGAAGCCATTCCAGAGTCTGCGGCAGGCTAGCCGCAAGAATTCTGAAGTCGGTGCTTTTTCTTTTCGAGGATGACAGGACATGACAGGACTCTATGGCTAATTGAACCAGCCTGCGCCAGAGCATCCTTCTGTCAGGAATACGCTTGAGTGACAACCCATCGCTCGCCTGTGCTCGCCATGGCCGCACCAGCCACCCCCGCTGATGGGCAAGGGAGCTTCGGGAGATTGATGGTGCCGCGATCCTGGCACCCTTGACGGCCGACCCAAACGACGAGCAGGCAGAGATCGTCGAGAATGTTGCCATTCATGGACGTGCGGGCCTCAGTGGACATCTCAGCCACGGCGTGCCGCCGCCGGCGCCTCGGGACGTCGTGCCCATCTATCAGCGTGGCCTTTGGGGGGAAGATCGAGCGGCCCCAGCCAGGAGGACCGGGTCAAGGACCAGGAGTTCTTCGTTCTCCATTCCAAGGCGGCCGAGGCAGTCAAGACAAGGAGGCCTGGTCCTTGGCAGAGATCAGCCGGTGGACGAGAACGTGACAGCCCAGTTTGCGGTGCAGAGCGGGGCGCGAAGCGTCCCAGACCAGAAGGCGCTAGGGCAGGTGTTGCGCCACATGGACATGGAGAAGTCCTGGAGCTTGCTCAAGCGCTGCTGGACGGAAGGCCCGGAGAAGGACAGCTCGTGGGCGGTCTTGAGCAGGCCGGGGCTGCGAACAAGAAACTCCAGGAGGATGAGCGAGATCCTGGCCCCAAGATCGGCTCGATCCAGTTCTGGGGGCTGACCAAGGCCATGGAGGGCGATGCGTTCCTTCCCGAGCGTGACTGGCCTCCGCAAGGCCGCAAGGCCTATTTGGACATGCCGGCGGAGAGAAGTTTGAGCCGGACAAGCATCGAGCAGTTAAGTGCGGACTTCCATATGCAGAAGGCATGCAAAGGGGCGTGCGGCCGTTCGCACAACTGCCCAGTGGTGGTCCTTAAGGATGGATGGATCGGATCTGCAACGCACCGCCGTCAGACCACACCCCTGAGACCTGCCCGCACAAACGACGCCAAAAGAAAAGAAAAGCCTCATCAGTCACTGAGGGTCCCTCTCAGACAGCCCGGGTAAGAAACGGGCTCAAGTCGCGCTCCCGGTCATCGGCCCGGAAGGGGCCGGATCCAAGGATTGGATCCAATCGCATTTTATTTGGACAAAGGAACTTCCGAACTGGCTTTTGCAAAGACTCCAGTGTCCCCAAACCTGGCATGCCGCCTCCAGTACGAGGACGCTCAGAAAAGGAATCCTGGGGACTAGGGCTGGTCCCAGAAGACCTTGCAGATGTGGACACGTCGGCGGCCCATTCTATAGATCCTGGAAACCTTCCTGGGGCGCAAGAAGGCTCACCTCCAGCTGCACAATGGGTCTGAACTGTGCAATCATGGCTCTCACCCTGTAACGCCTAGCGCCGAGGCTTTGAAGCGATACCGGAACCAATGATGACTTAAGGGCATTGCGACGGCCATGTATCTGACGCTGTCCCGCCTACAATCGGGACCCGCTCCGGGCTCGCGGAAAAGAGCCCTGGAAGAGAGCGTGGCCCACGGTGATCCGGGCTGTGTTGGCCTAGCCTCAGCGGCCCACCAAAACGCTGCAACAACTCCCACCGAACGGCAAGTGACAAGAGGTTGCAGGTGGACTATCGTGGGCTGCTGCCGGGTAGTCAGACAAGGGACTTGCCCTTGGCCGCGAACCGGAATCGCCGGATGAGGCTCCGGAGGAGCCGGACAGAGCAACGGGTCATGCAGAATAGGCTCGGCAATCCTCTCGGGCCGGGCTCCCGTGAGAAAACCGGGCAGAGCTGTTTCCCCGCCAGCGTGTGCGGAGAGACCGAATCCGGATGGCGTCTCTTCAACCGCTCCGACAGCTAAGCTCATCGATGGATCCCCCACATTCTATTGATGAGGACGGGCATCTCCGCAGGTGATCCCGCATCCTACTGCCGCGGCCTCAGACAGACCGGAGTCTAACCAACGCGGGTTTCGGCCAGACTCTTGGAGCACGAGACCTTATCGATCCTTTAGGTCTGAGAAAGATTCAGCTAGAGGTGTGAGAAAAGTTGCCACATGGATAACTGGCTTGTGGCAGCCAAG